AGCAATTGGTGATGGTGACTTCGTGCGTGGTGTTCATTCTGTTGGTGCACCACGTCCTGTCACAAGTGAGTACATTTCGAACTGAGAAATAAGCTTGAATCCAGTTTTTCGTAAACAAAAAATCTGCCTATTTAGGAAAGGTAATCAATCACTGGCCATGCAATCCAGAAAAAGTAATGATTGCTCACCGACCAAAGGAAAGAGAGATTTGGTCATTCGGATCAGGCTATGGTGGAAACTCACTTCTTGGTAAGTGTCTAAATTCTGCCCTACACATTTTCTTGGTTAATGCCATATCAATTTAGGAAAGAAATGCTTCGCCCTCCGTATTGCCATGAATATTGGACACGATGAGGGATGGATGGCTGAACACATGCTGGTTGGTAGATTTTTTCCCTCCGCTTCGAGAAAATGGCCATTCATCGCCGATTGCAGATCATGGGTATCACAAACCCACAAGGACAGGAGAAATTCGTAACCGCTGCATTCCCATCCGCTTGCGGAAAGACTAACCTTGCCATGCTTCAGCCTACTATTCCTGGATGGAAAGTTCGTGTAATAGGTAAGAGTCGCAATTCAGTTCAATGCCTTATTAGAATTTTCAATTGCACATCCAGTGCTGCTATTTGTAGAAGGACACAACGCATAAAGTAAGCTGGGGTATGTAGATCGTCGACATCGTAGTTTGTAAAAGCTTCATTCGTATAAATTAATGTTTTACTTGTAGAATATCTTGACTTCGTTTAAGGACAAATATAATACGATCTCGAGTTCAGATATGAGTTCAAAATCAATATTAATTCAATGGATGTCATGTTTAATGGCGCGCATAGGGAACTTGGCTCCATTTTCTCATGAAATTCCACAATACCTTACCTTTCTTAATTTTTGACATGTCTTGATTTGAGGTGATGATATTGCATGGATGAAATTCGGTGATGACGGTCGCTTGTATGCCATCAACCCGGAAGCTGGTTTCTTCGGAGTCGCTCCAGGTACATTTGGATTTTTTTGTCTCATTTCCTTAGGAATACAAAATTACTAGTTTCTTGTCATTGTAGGAACTTCCAACAAGACCAATCCAATGGCCATGGCAAGCTTCCAAAAGAATTCCATCTTTACGAA